TGCTGGAGGTGGGGGGAGGGGGGTGCAGATCGGGGTGTCTCCCGAGGAGGGACCCTGCCCAGGACCGCAGGCAGGAGCCTTTGCAGGCAAGAGGGAAGGGGCAAGGTGGCTGTGGCTGTGTGTGCACCAGGGAGCTGCCAGAGCATGCTTGCACTGGAAGATGGGAGGAAGGTGAGGGCCCAGGGATGCACCTATGCAGGAGGAAGGCAGGGGGAGAGGAAGGACTCTGCTCCTGGAAGCTGAGCAAGAAAGCTGCTCTCTGCATGGCAGTGAGGAGGGATGGAGACGCGGAGGCTGGGAGCGTGTTCTCAGCCCCGCAGTGTGCTGCCCTCCTGAGACAGGCAGCTGGGTGGGATTCGTGGTGCCCAGCAGCTTGGCGCGAGGGGGCACAAACTAGCAGGAAGAAGTTTCATAGCAAAGGCGTGAAGAAGACGGAGAGGACGGGACAGAGGATGGGATACTCCTATGAACATGACCTGGCTCCTGAGCTCTCCTCTGCTTTGTGTTGCTGTTGCAGTTCGAGGTGGTGGTGAAGATGTCAGATTTTCAGGTAAGGTCGTCCCCTGGTCCTCACTGACAACCTGGTGCAGCAGGGCTGGTGGAGCTGCACAGTGGTGAGCGTAGGACCTCAACTCACTGCATGGTGGTGAGCATGTCCCTGCCACCATTCATGGAGGAAGATGTGTAAGTTAAGGTAGATGTGGGAGCATGTGGTGGTACACGAGGGGACCAGTACGGCTAATGGGACCGGGAAGGTTGGGTGAAGGCTGCTTGAGGATGGCTTCCTCTCCCAAACATGAGGCAAAAATGACAATGTATTCCTGTTGTTCCAATCACAGAGTCAGCCATAAGGAGAGAGGGGGCAGACTCTTGCAAATCTTGCAAATCTCTGACAGACAAGGCCTCGGGCAGCGCAGAGGTGAGGTCTCGCAGGACACGATGCCTGAGGCTGGGGTGCCTGAGTGAGGAGGGAAGGAAGGCTGGGGAGGAAGGCACAGCTGCAGCGTGTGGGCTCACAGCCAGCCCTGTGGATGGGGGCTGCTCATTGCCACCCGTGGCGGGTGGCAGGAGCTGGTGGGTGCTGCCCTTGGTCCCAGGAGAGGGACTTTACCCGCCGGCAGGCCAGGCAGGCACAGCTCCCGTGCCAGCCTGTTTCCTCCCTGCAGGAGCAGGGAGTAGGGCCAGCACTACACCTGACGCTGGGGATGTTGCTCATGCTCTCAGAAGACCTCTGCTCCTGCCTCCAGCAGGCAAGCACGCTGGAGGGGAGAAATACAGCTTGTGAGTGCTTTCCCCTATGTTCCCCTCTGCAGGAGAGCTATCATTGGCTGAACCTGTGCTCACCACTGCTGGGAAACTGCTGGTGCATGAGGGAGGTAAGGGCTTTACCAGTCTTGGCAGGGCACTGTCATACCCAAAGGAAATTGCACAGCAGAGAGCTGTCACCTGGGAGGTTGGGTGTGCCTTCAAAACCTTTTATTCTCAGCAATTTTTCATCCTCCAGGAGAGTCTCGTCCCTTTTGCTATGCTAACTCACCACGTGCTGCCCCAGTTTTCAAGTTCATGGGAAGACAAATTCCACTTGCTCGCATCCCAAATTTATTCTCGCTGCTAAACATTTCATCTGCCTGTGGCCACTGTCCTCTCTGCTGATACACCATGGCAGAGAGGGAACAGCCCAGGCTTTACTCACAAGAAAGTCAGCAGCCAATAACATTTTCTCTCTCAGGAAACAGAAACTTTCCTATCTGGAATTCCCATTTGCAAAATACATCCTTAAAATCAGTGGGTGAAACACGTAGTTTGGAGCTCCAGGAGCTGCTCTGTGTGTCCACTCATTATCTTTCCTACTGATGCATGGGGCATGCGTGGACTAACTGACGCCTTGCCCACCCCAGTGGCCTCTACCCAAGTGGGGCTAAGTGTTCAGTCCTCCTTGCTGTGCCTGCGTGCAGGATTTCTCTTGGGCACCGCTACAGGGATCCACATTAAAGGGGTCATGAGCCTCAGACATGGCCAGTGCTTGTTTCAGATCCCAGGGCAGAGGAGTTGCCAGTCAATGATTTTTCTGGCCTCTTCACTGATGAGAGTGATGCCTTTCTGGGCACCAGGCAGCAGCTGATGATCCCCTGCTGCTGCTTGCGAGGCTCCGAGGTCCCATGCCAAGCTGCATCGTGCTTCACTGTAAATCCCAGCATGCCTCCTGCAAGCAGCACCCAGTGTGCAACACCCCATTCAGTCCCAAACTGGACACACGTGTGTTGCAGGATCTTCCAGAAGTGGTGCCAGAGATAACCCAAGACTTTTTCAAGGACCGCACCGTGTACCGGTAAGAGCTGTCGGGCGAAACCGGAGCACCTTCCAAAAGCCCTGTCCCAGGTGGCATGAGCCTGTCATTCCTCCCACCTGCAGAGCTCACCTCCCTGGTGGAGGCATCTTCCAGTGCTCCATCACAGGCCTCAGCTTCAAGGTGGAGTCGGCAGTGACCATCACCTACAGATATGCCACCTGGACCAGTCACCTGAGCGAGGCTGACCAGGAAATGTGGGTGCCCGCCGGACCCCTCTTCCACATCGAGGTGCAGCCTGGGGTCGTGCGGGCAGTGCATCTCCCCCACTTCATCTGCCTGGCAGGTACAGCAGCCACAGGGACCTCGGTCTCCCAAGCCACCATTCCTCAGCCTGTTCCCCCCCAGGGACATCTCCAGCTCCTTGGAGACCTCTCTCCAGATAGGCCCAAATTCTCCCTTCCCTCCGAGGCCCCTGTACTCCCTTGTATTCCTCTGCTTTGCTTTGGCATCCTTCATCCTTCTCTCATTTTCTATCAAGCCTTCGCAGTAGTCCCTTCCCCAGCTCCCGCTCCACACCACCAGCCCCTCCTTGCCCACCCTCTCCTCCCAACTGCCATGATGACCCCCGGGCACTACCCCAGCCCAGCTGCAGATCAGCCCCTGGGCTTCCCTGGAGAGTTTCTCAGCTTTTTGCACCTATGGCAGCTGTGGATGGCAACAGCCATCCCTGCTTTGCTCCACCAGGACAGGAGCCGGCCGGCTGCACCCACCCACAAGCTGGACCACCCCGGGGTGGGATGCAATAGGCCAGAGGTGGCCCAGGCAGAAGAATAAGTGGAATGAAATTGTCCATTTTCACCCAGGCAACATGAGGAGCTGCAAGGCTTGGATCTGGGTCCTCTGCCGTGCAGTGCTCTTAACAAGCTGCTGTTAATGAGCAGAGAAGGAGCGTCAACACCCGCAGCTGGGCTGCAGAGTGTGCAGAGGAGTCCCAGTCCCCCATGCTTGGGAGCCCTGACACAGGCACCGGCTGTGCTGGCTGAGGGACTCTTCCTGGCAAATCCATGTCCTCTTCCGAAACAGAGCACACTGCGAAAGGAGTTTCTTGTTGCATGGCTCCATCTCCCGCTCAGGACCTAGCAAGCACAGTGTGTTGGCTGAAAAGTGGCTCTACACTCTCTTCACTGACACAGCTGTGCTAAGCAAAGTGCTGTAATTATATTAATTTGTCAGGTTAATAGCAAAGTGTGCTCCAGTGATAATCTGGGTGACTGGGCATCAGCAGAGCTCTCTGACCCAGTCATCCCTAGGGATGTCACCTCGGGATGTTCAGGCTGCTCTGGGGATCAAAAACTAGAGTGACTCATCACGCAGCGACCGTCTGCCTCCCCAGTACGTGGTGGTGTGGTGCTTGTACGCAGGATGCTGCACGGATGCAGTCTGACAATTTTTACAGTCCCAAACTGCCACCTTCAGATTTGCAGTTTTCTGGGCCCGCAGGAAGACTGCCAAAGGCCTGCAACTCCCTGCCGAACCCCAAAAGCCCAGGGCACACATGGGACCTAAAGCAGAGCATGTCATCGTGTGTGGGTGCATGTCTCCTTTTTGCTGCTAAAGCCTTAAAGAGAAGGAGGCAGCCTGAGAGGGTGCCAGGATGACTAAACAGAACCTTGTTGCCTTTGCTGTTTCTTGCAGGAGGCGTAAATCCCAGCCAGTGCTCTGTTGCCCATTTTAAATCTGGGAAGATGACCCTGGAGAGACCAACCAGAGTGATCGCTTTCTCTGCTATCCTGGAGAATCCCAGCTTCTCACTGCTTGGGGTGCTTTGGAGGAGGTTACGTTCAACCTTAAATTTACTCCCTATGCACTCCTTGGTGCTGATCTTCCAGCAGCTCAGTGCTGCAAATACAACTCTTCACCTCTACCTGATCCCAGATGACAACTCTGTGAAGCAGGTAAGATGGAGGGAGCTTGACCGGGTTAAAAAAGGGTGACATCTGGGGTGGCTGCAGTAGCAGGGACTGGATTTGATAAGCAGAGATGCCTCTCAGTTTTTCTGTCACCAGCCTCTGATTCACACCCAGTCCTGTGCCCCCATCTCCCACCACAGGACACCATCCTTGCTCCTGCCTCCCCCACTCTGCTCTTTCACAGATGCCTCCAGGAATCACTCTCCATGTTTTCGGCTGGGACAACATGTCTTAGCACGAGCAAAGCCGTGGCAGGGGATGCTCTGCAACACGGAGCAGATGTAGGACTTGCTGGCCACTGCCAGGCACAGCAATAGGTGGCTGCATACCAGCTGTTCTCCTGTTGTGTGCAAGCCCTCACCCTCTTTCACAGAGTGACAGTGCATTACCCTGCCCGTGTTCCTGCCGGCACATGGTAGGTTCCTGCCTGCGCTGAGTGGGAGCTGCCTGGCCCCTGAAGCACAGCACTGCCTGAAGTACACACTCAGTGGTCTGTTCTGACTGGGTCGGTCTCTTCTCTTCTTGACTTTCCGAGGGCTACCTCCAGTTCACAACTTTTTTTCTTTTTCCTCTCTCAAAAGCAATGCTTGATGTTTACAGGCCATTGAAAAACAAGAAATGAATTGGAATTCAAAGCTTATTCCCAAACCTCCTCCATTCAACCCTCTGTTCTTCGGCTGCGTTTACCAGGTGACCAGTACGAGTTCCGTGGTGATAACGCCTGAAGTAAGTGGAATTGTTCCTTTTTTTTTTTTTTTGCAGGAAATAGAAAATACAAGTAGTCTCTGTCTTCAGCCATATTCTGCTACCAGAATCTGTCTTACTAGGTCTCAGAGCCAGAGGTGCAGGGAGCTGTACTGGTTACAAGTGGCAAAGGTATTTCATGATACACATTCCCAGAAAGAGCACAGAGCACATCCCAAAGCCCCAAAGGGGCTGCGTTTGTTTTTCCTTACGGCAGAAATCATACTGTGGGACTTGTTGGACTTACCATAGCTGCATATAAAGAAAGAATTTCAGAGGTGTTGACTCAAGTGTGGTCCCAAGTCCTTCATCTTCATCTCTTCTGCAGTGAGTTTCCTTCTGCTTAGGAGCAGGACTGGAGAGAGACTTTCTTTCTATGCCATGATGTGACATGACTTCCTTCTCTATTGAAACTCTGTTTGAGGATTTCTGATTTTGAGCACCATGCCCTGTGGCAATCAGATTGCAATGGCTGGGAAAATCTTGGAAGATTTGGCTATTTAGTCCTTGTGGTTACTTGTTTTACACAGGAGTTTGTGACATCCTGAGAGCAGCTGATGACAGTCCAATGGCACGTTCACAGCTGGTTATGAAAATCTCCTTTCATGGGTCTGCACTGCATCATAATCATGAAAAGGGAATCAGAGAAACTTAGGTTGGATGGGACCTCAGGAGGTCTCTGGTCCAACCTCTTGTTCAAAGCATGCGAGTTTTAAAGTTAGATCAAGGTGCTCAAGGTCCGATCAAGGTTGAATATCTCCAAGGATGGAGACACCACAGCCTCTCTGGGTCTCTAGTCTCTGTTGTAACACCCTGATTGTGGGTTTTTGTCCCTATTATCTAATCAGAGCTTCCCTTGCTGCGGCCTGTGCCTATTGCCTCTCATCTCATCGCTGTACACCTCCAGGAGGCTGGCTCTGTCTTTTAGTCCCCCTTCACACAGTTAAAGACAGTGATTAGTTCTCCCCGTGACTTTCTCTTCTCCATGTCGAACAAACCCAATTCCCTCTGCCTCTGCTTGCATATCGTGCACTCCAGCCTGGAGCTAGCCTTGCTCCAGGATGTCCATGTCTTTCTGGTACTGGGAAGCCCCAAACTGGACCCAGTGCCCAAATGTGCTGAACAGAGGGAAGGAAGCCCTGACCTCACTGGGCTGGCTGTGGTCTTGCTACAGCCCGGGATGTGGCCAGACTTTGCTGCCAGGGCACACTGCTGACTCCTGTTCAACTTGCATGCCCACCAGAACTTCCAAGTCCTTCCCTGCAAAGCTACTTTCTGTGCCACCCAGTGCCCAGGCTCTTGTCTGGTGTGGGGCTATTCCATCCCAGACGCAGGACTCTACATTTGCCTTTGCCGAATTGCATGAGCTTCCTGCCAGCTAAGTTCTCCAGCCTTTCCAGGTTCCTCTGAATGGCATCCTCCCCCTCCAGCTTATTCATCATCCCCCCCTTGCAGCTACAACCCTGCTACTGAGCTAAGCGCAGCCCTGAACAGCCAGGGCCTTCAGCTTAATTGAGAGACAGTCTTAAACCCCTGAATCACAAGGTAGGGTTTGGTTTTTCCACTTCCTGGAATGACCAGGTAGTAACTGGGCACTCTGCCTTGAAGAGCAGTTGTAAAGATGACAGAGCCAAGTTCTTGGCAGTGTCAGGTGAAAGCAGTAAAAGCCATAAGTTGCAACCTGGGGAGTTCAGGCTGAATGTTAGGAAAAATTTTATCACTCGGTGGAGATGCAGCCATTACAGAAGGTTAGAAGGTGGTAAATCTCTGCTCTTTGAGGTTTTCAGTACTCAGCTAGACAAAGCCCCAGCTGAGCAGATCTAGACTTGACATTGGTCCATCTTTGAGAGGTAGGTCAGATAAGACACTCCAGAGGTCCCTTCCAACCAAAATTTGTGATATCGGCAGCATAGCAGAGCCCTGACATGTGCATCTTCCCTTGTCTTTCCTCTTGCTGGTGTGGCCAGGAAACACAGGACGATGTATGCGAATTCATTGCAGCTCCCCACGGTGAGAGAGACTTAACTTGCTTCTTACCTTTACAGGCACACTTGCCATTTTGCTACAAGAGTCCTAAGGAACAGCAGCTCTTTGTCGAGATTTACATCAGGAATATGGCAGAAGAAATTGGGCTCCTTCTGACAGACACACGCAATGACACCGTGGTCTGGAGGGCATCACTGAGATCAGGTAGGAACAGCAGGTCCATCTAGGGGCTCATTTGCCTTAGCAAAAGCAGAGGTGCACCACCCAAGCAGACCTCACGCATTTTGTGGTCGCAGTTGTCCTCGCATCCTGCAGGGAAAGCAAACCCTGTGTATGCAGCAATTGGCCACTGAAGAATAGGAACCTGAAAGGACACCCCAATGTCAGTAGACCAGAGCTTCAGATTTAATGTGGAGTTTCAGATGTTGGGGTTTAAGAGAGCATGACAGCACTATTGGTGTCTTTCTGTTCTCTTGGCTACTGTTTGCATAGAAATCTGACTTATTTTTAAAAGTCCATTAATGTAATGAACACCCACGGATGTGCTAGTGCAACCACTGTGCGATGCAGAGGACGTAAGGAGAATACCAAAGTTTTAGTGAAAATCAACATCTTAAAAAATGACATGTTCCAGCCAGCGCTACTCTTCCAGACTTGCTGGGTGTGACACCAGTGTGTGAAACAACACCCAGAGCGCACAGGATTGAGGCAAGGCCGGATGGACCAGAGCCTGCATCCGCCACGCATCTCTGCTCACAGCAGCACCACGAACGTGGCACGCAGCAAGCCTGCTGATGGTGTGGGGATTGCTCTTTTGTGGCATCAAGAGACCATTGCTTACAACTATCCTGCTTTAGGGCTGACTGTACTGTCTTGGGTCCCATGCAGAACTTCGGTCAAGACAGCAGATGATGCAGGCAGAAGGAGCAGGGTTAGCAATAGCAGGTGCCAAGACTCTTGTTTGTGTGTCCTCTGGGAGGACAGACGCGCACCCAGCTCCAGAAAGGCAAGTTCCTAATCT